CCAGCCCCACCATTGAGACGCCAAAGGACCTCACGCAGTCAAAACCCCGCTGGAACATCGAAGCACGACAAAGCCCCAAACGACCACGAAATCCCCTCTCGACGATAGGCTGGGGCCCAGACCTGCGACCATGAAATCTCCTCTTCATAAATTAGAGGAAGATCGACGCCAAATTCGAGATTTAAGTTTCTAGAAAATGGGGGTTGTTTACTAGTGACAAGAAAAATGGTAATGTGATAATTATACGCCATTTCTAGATATGTCAAAACGGGGGCATAGGCCGGCCCGCCCCTGCCCCGCCTAATAGGCGAGTGGGTTGGTATTTTAAAGGCCCATCAAAGAGCGGGCCTAAATGGAGTAGCCCGCGTGGACCACGGGTTTTGGCGGGCCAGACATGTCAAGGGCGAGCCCACCGTTAAAAAAAATAGTTTTGAATTTAAGTATTTAATATAAATACGGATAATTGTTATTTTAGTACCTGTACTATGGGATAATTGTGAATTTGGTACCTATTCTTTATTTATCGCAAAAATACAACCTGATCTTTACGTTTTTGCGAATTTGGTACTAGTATTGACGTCAATTTGCATGACTTTACGTCTCGGGCTCGATTGGGCTCGTTCGAACTCATAATTGAGTTCCCTTTTTTTCTACGCGTCGCCAACGAACCCCTCTATTTAATGATGCTTGTATGAACAAATTATTCTTGAAATACTATTCTCCCAAAGCTTATGATCAGCATACCAAAAACGTGCTTCGCGCGACTTCGCGTTTTGGGCCCGTTCGAGCTCGTCCAAACATGGAATTGAGTTTCGCTTTTTTCTACATGTCGCCAACGAACCCTTCTACTCAACCATGGTTTTCTGGTCAAATTTTGGGCCAAATTTATTCCTCACAGGGTTTCCAACCTGCACACTAAAAACAAGAAGAAAAACAAAAAAACACAGGACACAATAAACTACAAAAACGATTAAAACCCAAGGAAAAGTCTTAAAACGGGGAAAAAATAGTGAAAAAAATAAGAAAAAAGGTAAAAAAAAATAAAATAAACACTTGCAAAAACTCCATCACTACTAGTTCAAATTCTCCAAAAAGCTTAACGTTTGAATTGACAAAAAATTAAAAACTAGTAGTGATGGAGTTTTGGCAAGTGTTTGTTCCATGTTTTTACGTTTTTTCCTATTGTTTTGTCACTATTTTTTCCCCGTTTTAGAACTTTTCGTTGGGTTTTATTCATTTTTGTAGTTTATTGTGTCGTGGTGCAGGTTGGAAGCCTTGTGAGAAATAATTTTGGCCCGAAAATTGAACGAGTAACCATGGTTGAGTAGAAGGGTTCGTTGGCGACATGTTGAAAAAGACGGAACTCATTCCATGTTTGGACGAGCTCGAACGGGCCAAAAACGCGAAGTCGCGCGAAGCACGTCTTTGGTGTGCTGGTCATAAGCTTTGGGAGAATAGTATTTCAAGAATAATTTGTTCATATAAGCATCATTGAATAGAGGGTTCATTGGCGACCCGTAGAAAAAAATGGAACTCAATTTCGAGTTCAAACGAGCCCGAAACGTAAAGTCCTGCAAACTGACGTCAATACTACGTACTAAATTCGCAAAAATGCAAAGGTCAGGTTGTATTTTCGCCATAAATAAAGAATAGGTACCAATATCAAAATTAACCCATAGTACAGGTACTAAAATAACAATTACCCTACAAATACACAATAGCACTTTACACAATAGCAATTTAATTTTTTTCTTAAGTTTTTTTTTACATCACAAGTTCACAATTCACAAATTAGAAATCACAACACAGAGACGGTCCTTTTTCCCTTTGCTAAGCTAACTCTAACCCCAACTCTCATTTTCTCAAGCGGCAGCAGGCGGCAATCCTCTGGACCTCTGCAGACCGACCGGTGACCGGTGTGCGGCGGTGACCTTGGAGCGGCGACAACGAGCGGCAAGAAAGCAGTGGATTCGAGCGGCGACCGGCGAGCGACGAGAGGTGAGCAGGCTAGCGGCAGAGCGGTGACTCCAACTCCAAGCGGCAACGGCAACATCGGCAAGGTAGTTTCTTCCGGTAGTGATGGCTGAACCTAATTCTCAAAATGAACTGTGATTTATGATTTGAACTGATTTCTGGATTTTGGTTTATTTAATTTTGAATTCTGTAAATGAAATGGTTAAACCTAAATTCTCTAATTCTGAAATGAATGTGAAGGCTGAAATTAAGGCTAGAATGTGATGGCTGAAATGAATGTGAAGGCTCAAATTTGAACTGTGATTTATTGAATGATTTATGGATTGATTTTGGTTCCAAATGACTAAATTCCTAAACTCCTCGCAAATATTTATTTTGTCATAAATCTACAAACGAACAGACCGCCTATGAAAGTGAGAATTAACAGCTGCAGTGTAGATGAGTTGGACAGCGTGGATCCTGGCTTCTATGGTAGGATTTGACCCCAATAGTTTGTTAATCGTATTAATTGCATTTCCTTTTGTTGGTGATTCAAATTTGTGTGTGGATGTTGGTTGGATGTCTTTAATTTTTCTGAAGTCGAAATATACTATTTGGTGTATCTCAGAAGAAGTTTGACATGTATGATTCTCAACTTGAGTCATGGACAGCTCTAAAAAATTACGCGGTTCTTAGTTTGTAGCCGGAGAAAAAGAGAATCATTTTTTGTTTTCCTTTTGGGCAGAAGAGTTATGTAGTTTTCACTTTAAAGTGTTGTGTCCTTATTTAGCAATCTACCTTGTTATTGATTAACAAAAAAATAGTCACCGACACAATCCAACTGAATTTCTCAATCCAAAAGGATTATTATTATTAGTTTTTTTTAAGAATTTATCCTTGAACTTTGTCATTATCATTAGAATCTCCTTTGTTTATCATCTTTTCTGCTCATTGTGCATCTGGCGATGAGATCTAGATATCTGTCGGAAACTTGAAATCATGACTCCACAGATTGTACCAATATTGCTTGTATATTCTACTAATTATCATCATATAATTACTTTATTCAATACTTTTGGGCAGTAGAAATTTTATTTGAGGTTCTCTATTCTGTAATGCTTCTGGACATCATTATAATCGATTTAATAGATATGAGCCTCCTTCTACTGTAAGCATGCGTAGAATTCATCAGAAATTTTCTCCCTTTTTTTTGGCGTGGACTGCATAAACTGTCACATGATGGTCCGAGTGAAACCTTGAAAACGAAAATTGCCGAGTTAGAGAAGAAGAGGAAAACAAGAAATCCCAGGAAAAATAAGTTGCTTGTGGATGTTCCTGAGTCCAAAAAGTTCCTTCATACAGCAACCATGCCAATGATACTCACTGTTGTGGGGACTGCTCTCTTTTCTAAGCTCCTCATGATGGTATGTAATGAGAAACTTTTTCATTTTCTGTTCTTTTCTGTTTCGGTTGATCTTTGCATCATTCGGTTAAGAATCAAATCTATGAGAGTTGTGAATGAGTGGTATTTAAATTGTAAATTGCAATTTTGAATATAGATGCCATGACTTGAAAAAAGAACTGAAATAAACTGAAAATTAGAAAAAGAGCCATATAAAATTATAGATAGAAATTGAAAAACAAAAGACTCTAAAAAAAGCTATAAGCGGACTAAAAAGGGTTTGAAACTTTGAAGAAGAAAAAAACCTTGAAAACTGCACAAATTTGAGAAACTAAGATTTGAATTGAAGATATGCCAAATTTATTTCCGGCAGTATGATCACTCCACAGAACAGGAATGGATTGAGCGAAAGATAAAGGAGACCCCTGGCCTGAGTAGTGTAAGGGTGCTCACTCGTGAAGAGTGGGATGCAATTCAAGAAGTGAGACCAAGGACACCATTTGAATCTAAGATAGCATGCCCCAATGCAAAAATACGAACTGGGGAGCCACTTCATAGGGTAAGATTTGTAATATCTTTTTTTTTCCCCCTTCTCACTTTTCACTTTATGAATTGTTGTAAACCTCAGGATAAAATCAATTTGAATATCTCAGGACAAAATTTAAGTTACAGACATCTCAAATTTGCATAGACTACAATTGGAAAAAGATGTTTATTTCCCCTATTGGATTATATACAACGTCCCTCAACCTCAAATCAATTCAATTCAATCTACTCGTTTTATTATGCGCCTCCGTCTGAACCAAATGGTAATGAGTGCTTCAAGCACTACCTATTGAGTTATTCAAGAGGCTATCAATTTATAACATATCTATAAAATAATATGGGCGTAATTTAAACATAATTCAAAGAGAGTTTTGCGAGTTGGGAGTGTAAACAGGGAGATGTTTGAAGCTGCTTGGAGAACAGATAGCGGGAGTGTACTCATATTTATTTATTTATTTATTTATTGATTGATTAATTTTGTAACGTGATAGTTCTCTAAATTGAGCTAAGACCTGATACTCTCGATTGTGCTGGTGCAATTTCTCAGGAAGATGTCAAGGATTGGATAGTGGATGTGTTTGCAGATGCATTGACACGGGCTGAGGAGACTTGCCAAACATGGATCTAACTAAAAATGATAGCTGAATAGCCCCATGGGCCCGTTTGGTTTGTAATGTTTTATTTCTATGATCATAAGATGGCCTTTTGCTACCCATTTTTTCTGGCGATGGTAAATTTATTACATGGAAATGGAAAATCGTAGGTGAATAATGGAGTCAGTCCCCATTGCCGTTTCTCTTGGAAGAAATCAGAAATTGAGATGATTTTTATTTTCCTGGGAAAAATGGAAATATGATGTTAGATATGGATTTGTTGTTTTATTTAATTGAGTTATTGGGGCTTTAGGCCCATGTGGTAAGAATACCTATTAGGCTATGCATACGGCTTTAGTCTTTGTTTAGGTGGACATTGAGTTATTAGGTAGGTTATCATTTTTTAAATTGAGATTTTAGGCCTTAGGAGGGAAGTTTCTTCTCCATTTGTATTAAAATTGTTTACTTTTCAATTTGATTAATCATATTTTAGTTTTGTTCTTTTCTTAAATGGCGAAGATTCAGTTCGAAACCGGTTGAATAGGTGAATCGGTACCAGTTCCCGTAAGTGTTGGTGAAAAAGACAGGCTTTTAGTTGATTTTTTTTTGTTTCTCTAAATTCAAAATCTGCAAATGAAGCTTAAAAAGCAGACCGGAAGTTACAATATGAAAATGAAAATTGAAACCAAGATTGCCAAATTTTTTATTTCGTCTTCAATTTAACTAAAAATCACATGAATTGATTTATATAATAAAAACACAAGATAAAGCACGACAAAAAAATAAAAATAAAAATAAAAATAAAAAAATAAAAAAAAAAAGAAACTAATACTAATTACTAATTCTTTGGGACTTTATCGATATGTCGGATTAAAGCAAGTCTTCTGCACCTTCAGAAGACCAAAACTCCTAACTATATCACTAATTATCCCAAAATCTATACATTCTCAAAACAATATAGAAAATAAAAATACCGACATTTGAGTTTTTAGTATAACCTATAATCACCACGGATGATGTGTATAGATATATGTATACTCATCCAATATATTTGGTAATTAAGAGTATTTAGATGGACAGGTTCACAAATAGTTGACATTAAAATTTTAAAAAACATTGTGCAGAGTGATTAAACAGAGGATAACATTAACAGTGGAATAACAACAATTAAAGCCAACCATGCATATTCGTATTTTCATGCCATATATAATTATATATGTTGATATAATTCACATTATATTTAGAATTATAAAATATATAAATACATGATAAGAAATGTGAAGTCCAAATAGACTCAAGCTTATAAATGAGGTTTGAAGTGAATAAGATTTCACTCGGGCTCCTTCGACTCGGTCGGCCTCCGTACCTGCAAGAACCCAATGCCGGGAGGGGTCCTGGCGTCGGGCCTCCGACGCTCAAGTCAGTATCACTCTAAATCCTAAGAGTATAATTATGAATGTAGAGAGAGAGTGAGTGAGTGGGATACCTTAGCCCCTTTTTATAGGGGCAGTGTACATTATAGCCCAAGTTGGGCTTGTCCAATAGCATCATGCCACGTATCCGAGCCATGTGTAGGTTTATTCTTCAATATATTTCCTTTTTATCCATTAAAACTGGTCTAGTATATAATATCCTATATCATCTAGTCCCCCCACTCTGGTCGAGTAAGCATGACTCGATCCAAGAGTGAAATTTCTCTTCGGGCTGTTTCCGTCAACCTGCCACTGAGGTTATAATTTGAATAAACCATCGACCACCAAATAGTCACCAAACCTCCCAATGAGCATCGGGACCCCAAATGAACACCGAATGACCACTAAGGTCAAAAACCAAAAGACTCGCCTTTCAGGTCGAATACCGAAAGACTTGCCTCTGAGGTCGAATACCGAGAGACCCGCCGCTGGGTTTGAACACCGAAAGCTGAATGACCACTGAGGTCGAAAACTGAATGACCTGCCACTGGGGTCCAACACCAAAAGCTGATCGACCACTGAGGTCGAAAACCAAGTGACCCGCCACTGGGGTCGAACACCGAAAACTGATCGACCACTGAGGTCGAAAACCGAATGACCCGCCACTAGGGTCGAACACCAAAAGCTGATCGACCACTAAGGTCGAAAATCGAGTGACCCGTCACTGGGGTTGAACACGAAAAGCTGATCGACCACTGAGGACGAAAACCGAGTGACCCGCCACTGGGGTCGAACACCGAAAGCTGATCGACCACTGAGGTCGAAAACCGAGTGACCCGCCAGTAGGGTCGAACATCGAAAGCTGAACGACCACTAAGGTCAAAAATCAAGAGACCCACCACTGGGGTCGAACACCAAAATTGAACGACCACTGAGGTCAAAAACCGAAAACCGAAGTTTTGAATTTAAAAATTTGAGCTTACGTCTTGTTTTTTTTCGATCACCATGTTCGAGCTCTCTTCATTCAAAGATAAACCTTTCCTACCACCTCGTCTATCATCACCCCCTCAGTTCAAAATTTGAGATTCAACCCTGTTGATTATCCTCTCAAAAACCGAATGCTCTCGAAATTCAAAGATAAACCTGCCACTGAGGTCGAAAAATAAATTCGACAAGACCAAACCAAGCGAAAACCATCAACCTGCTCGTGTTGTAATTAATGCCCTCTATTTTCCATTGAGGTCGAAAAATAAATTCGACAAAACCATAATCAAATAAAAAGCAATCAACCTGCTTGATCAATAATGCATACCCTCAACCTGCTACCGAAGTCGAAAGATAATTTCGACAAGGCCAAACCAATCAAAAACCACCAACCTGCTCGAACAATAATTAATACCATCGACCTGCCACTGCTCGAGCAATACTGAATATCAACAAAACCAGAATCAAGTAAACCACCATCCTGTCACCGAGGTCTACACGAGCTATCCGTAATGAACTCCATCTACCTTCTCTTGAAGTCGAAAAATAAATTCGACGAAACCAAGAATCGAATAAAGATCATCGACCTGCCATTGAGGTCTGCTCGAGCTATCTGTAATGAACTCCATCTCCCTGCCCTTGCAGTCGAAAAATAAGTTCGACGAAACAAAGAATCGAATAAAGATCATTGACCTACCACTGAGGTCTGCTCGATCTATCCGTAATGAAATCCATCTCCCTGCCCTTGAAGTCGAAAAATAAATTCGACGAAACCAAGAATCGAATAAAGATCATCGACCTGCCACTGAGGTCTGCTCGAGCTATTCGTAATGAGCTCCATCTCCCTGCCCTTGAAGTCGAAATATAAATTCGACGAAACCAAGAATCGGATAACGATCATCGACCAGCCACTGAGGTCTTCAATAGTATCCATGTCTTCATCGACCTAACCCTAGGATCGACCACCCAGCCCGGAGGCCTTAATTATGGTAGATTTTGGTCTTCGAACACATGTCTACCCTCAACGGAGTGGTCGTTACATATGACCACCCAGCCCGGAGGCCTTAGTCATGGTGGATTTTGGTCTTCGAACACATGTCCACCCTCAAAGGAGTGGTCGTTACATGTGACCACCCAGCCAGGAGGCCTTAGTCATGGTGGATTTTGGTCTTCGAACACATGTCCACCCTCAAAGGAGTGGTCGTTACATGTGACCACCCAGCCCGAAGGCCTTAGTCATGGTGGATTTTGGTCTTTGAACACATGTCCACCATCAACGGAGTGGTCGTTACATGTGACCACCCAGCCCAGAGGCCTTAGTCATGGTGGATTTTTAGCCTCAAGGCCATCAATTAAAGTCTGCCCGGCCCGCTAATGGGACCGTTCGAACAGACGACCACTCGGGGTGGATTTTAGACTCCTGAATAGCTCGAACACTTCGACCTGCCACTGAGGTCGAAAAGAAAACACACCAAACACCACGAGACCGAATAGTAATTGATCATTTTCATTAGTCCTATTAAACGCATAGTTATATCGCAGAAGTTAAAAAAATCAAGCATATTTTTTGACCTCCCTTTCCTGTCTGTACACGACGACCTGAGTTGCTGTTTGCTCCATGCTTTTCACTCCTCACCATAACCATTATCCAGTCCACCTGCTCATGCATTTTCCTCAGCAACATTCAACAAGTTCCATTAGTCGTATTTTATCCACATCATCCAATTTGCAATCCCGATAGTAATAATAACAAAAGACGAATAAATCAAAGTGATCACATTGGTCCACATTCGCTTATACAACACCTCAATCTACATGCAAGTCTCTACCACGATATGAAATCGCATAAACACCCACTCAAATGTATAGTCGACCAGAATTTCACAAAGCCACGAATTCACAAACAATTACAATGAACCATACTCTGCAGCTACAAACAATCATTAAACGAATGCATCAAACAGAAATTTAAATGAGTTACTCCCAATACCCAGCTCCTTAGTCATGACGACTCGAGACTGGCCATCCCGAAG